AGCCTTTAATCGACCCCATGTTAAAACATTTTCAGGTAGTTTTGTTATTTAAATACCATCAATTCATTTGTTTTTTTGTGTGCCCTGGTTTACTCCGTTTTGTAAACTCTTTCTCTCTTTTCACTGTTGTCACTTTCTGTCATTCTCCCAGATGATTCATTTGAGCAGCTGAGGCTCGAGTCTTTCTCCACTCCCCCAGAGCTCCCTGACGTCATGAAGCCCCAGGACTCGGGCAGCACAGCCAACGAGCAGGCTGTACAGTGAGGGAGGGGGCAGGGAGACCAAAGGGACACACGGGGGTCGGAGGGTGAATGCACGGATTGGAGGGAGGGTAGAATTTTGGGAAGTGATGCTTCCACGGGTGAGTTTTACCATGCCGACAACAGATCTTCAGCTGGGCATAAACAGTTACAAACACGGATACCCTTTGATGTAAATGTGAGGGTGGGTGCTTCAAAGCGGTTTATTTGTCCTGAAATCAGTGAACGCATGCTAGATAAATTGATAATTTCACACAAGACCCTTCAGATTCCTGGAGGGCTTGTCACAACACTGTCAGTCATCCATGGGATTGGTAACGACTGAACATAAGAAATTGTACCTCGTATTTAATTCATTCTAGTCTTTATTTGGGGTAAGGTTATTGCTGCCTTACTTGTGTTTTTTATTTTTGCTGGCTTAAACGTTGGAGTTGATGAGGTGTGACATTTTTAGGCTTTATGTTTGTGTGTTTCTTTATTAAACTATGACTAGGATTTAACATGTTTTTGGATGGATATTTGTTGCAACAATAGCTTGGATTTTGTGAATTTCTAAGTTACCATCTGTATTTCAAAAACAACCATAGTAATCTGAAATAAAATAGATGAACTTGTTGGCAGGAGATCTGGCATTAAGATGAGCATTTTCCAGGTTCTTTACCAATCAGTAGTTGTAGTTGTCCTACTGTAGCTGCTCACAGAAGTTACTGAGACTGAATGCACTCATTGGTATTTACAACACATGTTACGCTGGCATGGACCTGGTGTTGAATGTGAAGTTCGACAGGCAGCAATCAAAAAATAAATTAAGAGTGATCTTTTTTTTTACCTTGGGACCTTACCAATTTCCTCTCCAATGTTTATTGTAGCTGATGACATCTTGGAGATGTTGATGAGATCTTGACTTTAATCAGTGGGTTTAATTGTTTCCAGTAAACCTAAACCGTTTTAATTGAACAGGAAGTTTGTCATGTGCAAAGTTATGAACCGTGCCTTTGAATAGCTGGCTGCACATCTGACTCTGCATTGTACCAGAATCCCTTCCTATTAAGGTTTAGTTCATGCTGCAACTTGTGTTGTATTATACCCGATTACCTTATTTCTTATAGTTTTCCTGAAGTTAAAAGGGGAATTATTATCTACACATTGAATGAAATCAAAAAATCAGATCAAAAGCTGTATAATCAAATTTAAATATAACACTGGGTCTTGTGATCTAGAAAACTACACCTAAAGAAACAACTAAAACCCTCTATTAGTTACAACAGGAAATTACATTCTGACCGTGGGTTGTTGAATAACATGGTTGACATTAACATTTGCAAGTGGAGGCTGTTAAACAGTAGGACATGATCAAAGTTGCACTTGTAAATGATTTCAACATTAAAACATCTGTTTTTCACCCCTGTGCACTGTGGTGTTTTGTATACAGTCCAAGGTAAACACAAGATAGTTATAGATATTGCATTATTTTGTGCCAACTAAAAATAATTATTGATTTTGCTTTACATTTTATCATACAGTGTTTACTTGCAGTGCTAAGAGTCAGCTTCATATGCAATAACATAAGCTATCTCAGAAGATAATGGCAGGGTAATGAGTTGAACACATACTGTAACTATAGTCAATAAGATGGGATGGCATTTACTATGACTTGCTTTCTCAGTCACTTCATAAATTGGTTAATAAAACAATACACTTTTAACATACACCACTTTGCAAACAATGTTTTTAGTTAAGCTCATTCCCATAGGTACTGTACTTTTTCATAAATGAAATGTGCTTGAGTTAAACATCACTAACATGTTTCATACTGTATGTTTTGATTTAATTTATTTTGTAAAACATGTTTATCCCTTGACATTTGCCTTCAGATACATTAACTTGTGTATATGTTTATTTTTACTTTGTGTATTGTTGTATTGTTGTTAATGATTGAAAACAAGTTTCCGAATTTTCCGAAAGCACTTGAAGGCAGCATACTGAACTTTATTGAACACATGAAGGCAATGTCCGTTAGCTAGCAGGCTAGTTTAGCATTCTGCTAGCCTCCCTCGGTGATCAGCGACTCCTAGCTATGCAACTACAAACAACTTAGTTGGTTTAACTAACGTGTCCTATACATGGGCAAAAAAGAGTACCCATGACTTAACAAAGGATAGGCCAACATAATACAACAACAAATGGAGGAGTATGTTTTATCTGCGGGCCGGGCCGTGCTGGACATGGTGGAGCGGGAGTGGCAGCCCCTGTCCCCGGGCGAGCTGGAGCAGCGGCTGGACCAGGCGGTGGAGGGGGTCCTGGAAGCTGAGATGATGGCGACACTTAAAACTCAGCCTCCTACTGCTTTATACGTACATTCATTGCAGAGTCAAACTAATATGCAGCCCGAAGATTTGCAGACGACAACATCGTGCAGCAGTCCCGCGGAGGAAGAGTCCCCGGAGGAAGCTTTGGAGGCTTCAGACGGTGCTGCAGTCCAGGTATCAGTCTGTGTTAGGTGATACGAACACACTTACTGTTAAAATAAGTTTCTGTCAAAAGGGGGAACATGATTTAACTTATCCGCTGTGCACTAATCTGATATTCTCACGTATTTTTCTTCGAACTAGTGTGTACACAGACATTGTAAGACCCCAGGGTTGACACAACACTCAAGGTTACAGTGTATTAAAATATACAAAGATACACATTAAATGCACATCAAACTAGCACAATTCAATGTTACCAACTTTACCTAAAAAGGCAGTTTTAAGCAAATATTTTTGTTGTGGTTAACAGGTAAAACTTTTATTTTAGTTTCAATATTATTATTCCAATTACGATAACAATAATACAAAAGTTTGATCATATTCATATAGATCCTTATCTTATATGTTTTTTGTTTGTTGAAGCCCACTGAGTTTACGTTTGTCATTTGAAATGTGTCATACAAAAACTTTTTGTGACATTTCACACCAAATGTTTACATTGCCTGCCTTTGGCCTAATGTTTATTTCGAGCTGCCCCGTCTTTCAAACCATTAAAGAGACCAATATATTTGTTTATTTTTCTTGCTGTTAGACTATGGAGATACACTCTTTCTTGCAACAATAAATTAGTTAGTGAATGCATTATGATACGAAAAAATGTCACCTGATTACCTTGAATCAGTGTCTGACTGATGCTGGAACATAATCTTCTTTTTTCCCCCCTTCTATCAGTACATCACAGACCTGCTTCAGAGCTCCAAATCCAGGGCTCGAATGGCAGGACGGGCTCGCTTGTCCCTGTCCAACACTGTCCAGCTGTCCCTCACTCTGCTCTCTGAGCGCGTCAGCTACCGCTCTGTGTCCCGCCGCTTCCACCTGGAGAAAGGAAACATCCACAGGACCTTCTTTTCTTTCTGTGAACGCATCAACACATTGGAAGAGAGGCAAATCAGGTGGCCAGTCGGTGGGTTGACTTCAATGTTGTCTGTGGGACATGATCAATAAAGTGTCAATGATTTAAGAGTAGTTTGAAAATAATAATATTGATGGTATTTCCCCGTTTTTCTCAAGGCATAGAAGCTGTCGAAGCCCTTTTTCCACTTTGCATACAAGAGATAGAGCAGGAGCAGCAGCAAAGTCTCCCTCAGGTCCTGGGAGTGTTGGGACACACCCGCATCCCCATCCGCCTGCCTATAGGGAAACACGATGTGGAGAGCACAATGCCTGAGGTGAAGAGGATGAAGGAGGAGGCTCATCCCGACTCCTGGCTCAACCTTCAATTCGTATGTGACCGTAAGGGCCGGTTCCTACACTGCACAATCACTAAAGGATCGAACATGGACATGGGCAACGCTCTGAAAGACAAACTCAAACAGCGTCCAGATCTGATGCCCCCTGGCTCCTGCCTCTTGGCCAGAGCTGGCTACCCGCTCACAGCTCAGATTTTAACTCCATATTTAGGGAATCAGGGACCCAGAGAGGAGCTCTTTGACAAGAATCTGGAGGAGCATTTTCACATCCTAGACCAAGCTGTTGCCAACCTGAAAGCCAGATTTCAAAGGCTCAAGTATCTGGATATAGGAAACTATGATCGAGCGAGAGCTGTCGTGCTAACAGCTTGTGTCTTGCACAATGTATTTTTGGACATGGGACAAGTGATTCAAGGAGACGTTGAGAAAGAGGAAGACACAACCCCACATGAAGATTGGGAGGTAGATGAAGAAGGTGCACAAAGACGTGACACCATCTCAGATTTGTTGTTTAAAAGCTTTGGTTCTGTAAACACATGTGATGATATCTAGGGGAAGACTTTCAGAATGTTTATGCTGCAGGAATGTCACATAAATGTATAAATAGTAAAAACGACCTTAAAGACATCAAAACTGAATGAAAATGTAATTTCACCAAAAAAAGGACTTATACCAGACAAAAAAATGTTCTTAAGGAACCAAGGGATAAATCCTTAAACAATGATGAACAAAACACATCAGAAACCTATTGGAATATATTTTTGTTTTACAAAATGTTTGCTTTGCCTTAGAGCAGATCTTGTCTGCAATGAGACTGAGGGCCACAGCTCCCTTTGACACAGTTTACATTTAACTTTACATAGCTCTTCTTCTTAAGAAAGTTTATCAGAAATGCCACAGTGTGTTTCTCACTTTGACCACTAGTTGGCAAAAAAGTTCAACAATCAACTTTCTACTTGATCAGGCTCATAGCCAAGACAGACAAAACATTTGCAAAGGTAGTATTTATTGCAGGACTCTTTATTAGAATACTCTACATTCTTAATGTGTTCACACTGGCTGTTAAAGTGTATCCTATAAATACAATGACAGTACAAGCATGTCTATGAATACTATAGTTGTTATCGTTACCTCTAGGAAAGATTATCAGTTTAACTAACTATTGTTCCAGAGTAAAATGTGAGTATGAAGAGGTCTTATTTTGACTTCCCTTGAACAATAATCATAATCCTGCTGTGATTATTTCCACTTCAGTTTGTTCATAGCACCATGTAGGACCTGTATTAAAGCAGACTAAAAATGTTCTACTCTTGCATAGGTTGTTGACATTAATCAATAACTGGAATAGTGATGATGGTACAATAACTCACTCTTATCTTTTAGGAACAAAATAAGTAGAAATAACATCTAATAGGACAACTTTGAGGCGGCTTGTGCTCTGCTTGCAGTAGAATCAAGAGCTGTCCAGGGTATATTTCGCGGGTCTGTGTCTCATGTCTCATCTTCTGGTGTCAGGTTGAAATGTGCAGAAGTCAGAGTGGCCAAACCTATTCCTAAAATTATGGGACTTGCCGGGGAGCTTACCTTTTAAAGCTGGTGCCCCATGTACAGAGGCTAAGGCTTAGTGCAAAGGGTGGGGTTCTAGGCAGACTGCTGCATGTCATCTCAACCTATCCTGGTTAAATAAAGGTAAGGTAAAATAAAAATAAAATCCTTCTCCAACTTTCCTTTCCGTCCTTGGCGTCGGCTATCGATTAAAGGCGAAAACAGCCCAAATAATATTTGAAAAAATATACACATTCTTCAAACTGTAACATTTTGCCAAAACGATTATTCTATGAGATAAAAGTTACATTTACGAGCTGAAAAGCACAAACTTTCACAAATAAATGTTGCTATTCTCCCCCAGCTCTGTAATTATTATCTATTGTGAATCATAAAAATGGCCCTAATTTGACTTTGCTGTTTTCTTGGTGCATTGTCAAACCTCTTTTTTGATAAGAGCAACAACTTTTGGGGTTTAATGTCCATCCTTTGACATCTGCATGCTGTTCTTCTCAGCCAGGCTGGAGATAGCCTGGGCCAGGTTGTTAATAGCCTCTATCTTCCTCTCCTCCAGGGCTTTCTGCTGAGCCCACATGTTCATCTTCCTCTCTTGCAGCTCCATATAAAGCTGCAGGACGTCTTGTGGCGGCCGGGCCGAGCAGGGAGCAGCTGATGTAGCAGGAGGTGTAGGGAGGATTGGGGTAAACCTCTTGCTGGCCATGGCATTGCCCACTCTGGTCCCACTGAGCTTTGCCCTTCGCTGGGCTTCGACCTCCTCCCTGCTCTTACCCAGGACCTCGTGCATGGCCTTGAAAAACTCCCAGTGGACGCTGTTCACCCCCAGCCTTTTTGCCCTCTCAGCATTCTTCCTGTAAGTTGCCAGCAAGTTTCTCCACTTGAGGTCACACTCATAGGCCTTCACTGTGACATTCGTTACTTCTGACTCCCGCAGTTTGACGTTCACTTTCTCTGCCACCATCTCCCAAAGTTTCTTTTTCTTGCACACTGGCTGATCAAAAGCCTGGTCCATTTCAAGTCTGGTGTTGACAAGGTGCCATGTAGCCTGCAGGGTCCATATAAATTCTAGAGAGGAAAACAAACATATAACATGTTTTAAGTTACATCTACACCAATACTGTACTTAGCACTGGAGTATTTTCATTGTATGCAACTTCATACTTTAATTCCACTACATTTCATAGGTAAACCTTTTAGGTTTAACTTTATAAAATGTGTCTGGCAGCTTAAGTAACTTTTAGATTTGAGGTTTTTCATCCCCTTTCAGTGGTTTGCACAGGCCAGAAACCATACAAGCATATTATAATTGTATATAGTATGATATCTTTTTCTACCCAACTACTATCAGCATCGGTAAAGCTCGGTTGGATGCTACACAATCAGATGCTGTTGGTACCTGTACATGTGGATAGATATGTAAATTGTAATCCCTGTAAATGTTGCTGTATGATGTCCTTTTGTTGTTCTGTTGTTTATGTTTTTATGTCTTCATGTGGAACCTACTGCTGCAGGTCTCCCTTGAAAAAGAGATCATTGATCTCAATGGGATTTCACCTGGATAAATAAAGGTTTTGAATTGAATTGAGCATATAAGTATCCATATAACTGAATAATTACCTCCCAAACGTTTCATACTTTAAATGTAGTTAACAGATAAAACTTGCTTTAAAAATACTTATTACTTACTTCTGTAAGGTTTCAACATGGGTTTTACTTGTATTGAAGGATGTGAACAGTGCGGTATTAGTACTTTCACTCAAGTATTCTGATCTGAATTTCTTTTATGCATTTAATTTGTTGACAAAATATATAACTTTGCATTTAACCTCCTTACCATAGACTGTATTAATATAGAGTCCCTTAACATTAACCGTTTTTCCCCCTGAGTTTAAAAAAATGAATCATTTTATTTTACACAACCTGTCTGATTGAAACAACTATTTGAGGACACAAGTTAATGGATAACTTTCAGTTTATTTAGTGTCACTGACAGTATATAGATCATGGTTTATGACACTAATAATAATAATCATAGATTAGTGCGCATTCATCAGGCCCTCCTCGCTGCATGCGATGACTGGATGAAACATTTTAAACTTCACCATGTAACGTTACTAACCAGCTTTGGCTTTATCGATGTCCACGCTACACACGACAGTTTCCTTTCCTTCAACTTCAGTATTTTGTATCACAATTGTCTCGAGTACCTCCATGGAGTTAATACTACAGAACTAAATGTATTAATCTGTAATTACCGTGGCATTTAACAACATTTCAGAAGCACCGATGCATCGCGTAAAACGATGACAATAACAACGTCACTTAGCCGCTTGGGACGTGTAGTTCGTTCTAGTGGCCATAAACGGGCTTCTAATGTTTCTAGTGTATCAACTAAACTACAATCCCTAAACGCTGCGAATTGTTCAATACCGTCAACGCTTTATCACCGCTATGGGTAGTGTAGTTTTCAAAGGGAGGAAATGCATTGGGTGAGTTTAAATGCAGCTTGATTTAAACTACATATCCCAGCGTATATCTAACCGGCCCACCTCTTCACTCCCTGCTCTCTTCCGCGACCGCCCCTGTTTTGTTGTTTGGCTAAAGATGGCGTTAGCGGCTAACACAGGCGATTGCATTTTGTTTCACAAAAACTATTCGGCCAGTGGTAACAGCACATTGATCAATTAGAGCTTTATTCCGTCATTTCATATGTAAAAATATGTTACATTGAGATGATACACGTATATCACGTAGAATAACGCTTGTTCGGCCTTCCCACGATGTAGGCCTGTTTTTAGGGAGGGGACCGAAGCTGGTGGAACTCCATCTCCCATCAGCGATTGCGGCGTCAGGTGGTACACATTTACTTTTTCATGGTATCTGTAGTTTATTGACACCAGAATGTTGTTTTTTGTGGAAACTTTTGAAAACTTGAATGAAGTCATTAAGAGCACACATTCATTAGTTGAGTAAAAAACTTAAACATTTTTAAGTAAACGGACATGTTATTTTATTTCTCTATTTCACTGGAAGCGTTCAATGATGCTCCACAATGTGTTTAAAATCTGTCTAAACTGAGACGAGAAACATTAAGATAACTGAACCGGGGACTATGGCTGCATCACCTGTTCAAATGGACTGCAATCAGTCAAGAGCTCCTTCCAGAGACCAGAGGTCACCAGAGTCTTCTTTGACCTGGTGCTTGGCTCACCTCTGCTGCAAATCCGGATCAGGAGCTGAACACCACAGGCATGGCAACGGTGACTCAGGCGGTGGCAGAGATGGGGACAAAAGGATCAGAGCCTCTCAGTGGAGAGCCCTGGTTGCAATACGGACTCAGCACATTAAGGGGGACAAGGCTGGCATTGCCAGATTCAGAACTCAAGGTGGTCTCAGACCCCTGCTGGAGCTGCTCAAACACCCAGAGTGCTCCAGGAAACCCCTTGACCTGGCTCTGAGCATCCTGGCAAACTGCTGCACTGAGCTGCTAACACGCATAGAGGTAAGGAATAACAGAGAGGCTATTTTTCATTTACCAGGATAGGTCTCACTGAGATTACAAATATATTTTCCAAGAGAGTCCTTGTATTGAACAGTGTTAAAATAATTGTTCAGATCCATCCTTTCCAGATAAAATGTATTCAAAAACTACCACTAAAATGTACTTGAAGCAATGGTATATCTGCTCATTGTGCGGTAAAATGTTTCCTGTCAGTTTTTTTTACTATTATACAGTATATAATGTTTTGGATTCTTACTGCTGCTGCAATGTGCACTTAGAATATCACTTCTGTAGATGTTTAAAGTTGTGATTATTTTATTTTCTAGTTGGATTATGAAGTTCCAATGGAAATATTCAAGATGCACCACTTATATTAAACATTATATTTATAAAACCACCCAGCGAAATTCTTAACTTTTTGAATGTTTTTCTCAGGTTCGTAAGCTTGATGGAATAAATATTGTAGGTAAGTGGTCATTTACATTCTTGTACGGACATTAGGACTCAGAATTAGGACTCTTTAAGGCTTGCAATAATTCGCACATAATAAAATGCCAACTCTTTTTGACTGTCTTAGTGGAGATCCTGAAGGAAAATATGGCCCTGGAGACCGTCCAGAACAGGGCAGCCCGGGCTTTGGGAAACTTGGCCATGGATGCTCAGAGCTCTGCACTCATCCACTCTGCAGGTTAGTCTAATTTAACAAACAAAAGGTGTTGGGCAATTATATCAGTATTTGTGTTGCTGTAGTTACAGCTTTACACCCAGAGAGCATGTGTCCAAAAGGATGTGCATCTTACATTTTATTTATTTATTTATTTCAACAAGGACCATGCATACATTACATTAATCTCATACAAGAGAAGAGATTAATTAAGGCCATATTTGAGCTAATGGCTCATTTCCATCTGCAGTCCTTTTAAGATTTAATAGTGTAATTGGTTTGGTTCTCATCATATTACCAGATTGAACTCGCCTACTCACTAACTGTGTTACTATTCTCATTTAATTGGTTAATAACTCATGTAATTGTAAGATGTTACATATTTCACTTACACATTGAAGATGTTGCCCTCTTGGCTAGTGGGATACCACTCAATTAATTGAGTCTATTATTGGTAGTTAGATATTTATACTGGAAAATACATTTTTATTATGAGGCCAATAAAAGAACAGTGCTATTTATTTATTTATTTATTTATTTATTAGTAAATGGGAAAGGTAAATGATTTTCTGTCAGATTAACATCCATTTTATTTATTTATTTATTTTTTTACACAGGTGGGGTTCCTCTTCTCCTCCTCTGTGTGTCTCTCTCTTCTGGCCCGTCCTCCCCCACTGATGCTCCACCCAAAGAGCCCTGTCCTAAACTGGAGTGCGCTCAGTCTGCTGCTCGGGCTCTCCTCTACCTCTCAGACACGCCCTCTAACCGCCTGTCGCTGCTCACCCAGGGGACCTTATCCTCTCTCGCCCCCCTCATCGCTCCAGAATATCCCCTGGCGCTGAGGCGGGCGGTGCTCAGGACGCTCCACGAGCTGACCCGGGGCTGTGGGGTTGAATGTGCCAGGGAGGCATCCCGCTCTGGAGTCCTCACTCAGCTCGGTGCCATGGCGTCGGGGGAGTCGGGTAAACCTTTTGAGGAGCTGGCACTGAAATCCCTCGCCAACCTGTGCGCCCAAGGCTGCCTGCGCCCTCTGGTGGGGTCACTGGGGGTCATTCAGAAGTTCACTGAGGAGGTGAAGAGGGACCCTCTGAAGTCTGGAGTCTTCCTTAAGGCGCTGTGCTTGTGCTGCAAGGAGGCGGTAAACCGGGCCAAGGTGAAGGAGAGCGGTGGACTGGAGGTGCTGATTGGCTTTCTGGCTGCCCATCAGGGTCACCCCCTCTCCAGATTCACCATCCTTGCCTGTGTAGACTTTGTTTTTGATGAGTCTGCTATGGAGCAGCTGCAGGAGTTGGGACTGGTCCCTCTGCTTGTTGCACGACTGGTGGAGATCACCAGAGGCGAGGAACAATCTGATGAGAAGATGGATGTGAGCCTCTCCGCCAGCATGTCTCCCACTGAGCTCCTGCCCTCGTCTTGTTTTGAATCCTTTGACTTTCCTTCTCCTGAGGGCTGCAAGAAGGAGGAAGCTGGAAAGGAGCTATGTTCATCAAGCTTTTTAAGTCTCAGGTATGGTCTATTAAACGTCTTTTTCTATTTCCCCTGAATTTCATTCTACCATTTGCTATTTTATTGTTTATCAAGATTCAATAGATTTAAAGGTGTATTGTCCTAAGATATACACAACTACGGTGTAAGTAATGTGTGAAAAACACATACACTGCAAACAGTGCAATTACCTGTATGTATTGATTTTCTTTTTTAGGAGAAATATTCAAAGGTCAATTTGAACAGCCCTAATGCTTGTTTTCTGTCTTCAGGTCCTGGTTGGTGTCTGAGGGTTTGATCTCCTCGGAGGGCGACCTGCTCGATTCGTCTGGAGTTGAAGGGGAATGGGGGAGTCTTCAGATCCCACCCTCTTCATCGCCTCAAACCTCCTCCCCAAACCCTGACTCCCTTTCCTCTTCTCCATCCAACCCTACTGCCTCTTCCACTTTTAAAAAAGCTGCACAGCCTTCACCCGTGTCCTCTTCAGCCCATCCCCAGCTGTCTTCCTCCTCTAAAATCACTGATCCGCCGCCTTCTAGTCCTCAATCCTCGAGTGCGCTCACAGCCCAAACCCAGCCCAGTTCCACTCTCTCCTCCCCCACTAAAACACCCCAAACACCCGTCTCTCCGTCAAAGTTATTCTCCCCTCACAGAAGGAGGCAGCGCGTTAATTCAGCCGCTTGTTTAACTAAAGTAATTCTGGATACCCCTCCCTCTGTGCCCCGCACCATGGCTTACCACCCCTACCACCCGGAGCCCTGGACCCCTGAGTCGCCCATCCTGCTGCTGCTGTCACGCTTTTCCCACTCCACTGACCCGAGTGCTGCTCTGATCAGCCCGGGCGTCATGTCCGGCCTTCTCTACTACCTCACCCAGCACCAGGACCCCAGCAGCAGGTGCTTCCGGATGCTGTGCCGGCTGAGCTGCAACCCAAACTGTCTGCAGGCGCTGGTCCGAACTGGATCTGTAGCTCTCATTCATCACCATCTCTGCCAGAGGGGGGGAGGATTCGAGGGAGGGAAGAGGCAGACGGAACGAGTGAAAGCTAAAGTCAAACAACTCGGTAAGATAAAGATGTTACCCAGATGAGTTATCTGCAACCTGCAGCACTGTAACTTTAGAACAGTTAAGAGGCAATATTTGACATATGAACCTTATCCCCCTCTAAAATATAATTGAAAGCATCACCTATGTGTATGCTTATTGCCTTGTGAAGTTATACATAATTCACATGTATTACATTGTATTACTTGTAGCATTATGTATGTTATTCGTTAGATCAACTTAAACATCATTCATGTTTTCTCTGACTAGGGATGCACCCATCCATCTTCCCAGTTCCTTATCTTTAGATGAAGCCATACACATTTATCCAAGGTTTTCTCTTTACCCAATTAAAAAGTGTGTATGCCAAACTGTTTGGAGCATTACAATTATATCTTAGGCAACATTAGGCCAAGACTAGCTGTATGACTCATCTGCCTGACATGATGATGATGATGATGATGACATGAACAATATAAATCTTAAATATTTAATGTGGATCATTCCCATCTAGCTAATGCTCTGAATGAGTCAGTATGAGGGATACAGATCAA